AATATGACTGGAACTAAAATTATTGAATAAAATGATCTGATTTCTACTTCAATGACAGAGTATGTAAAAAGGAAAAGGAGATGTTAAAAATTAACATTACGAAGAGAAGGAACACATGGAGGGTGCGGGATCCCGGAGGAAAAAAAAAAAAAGAAAAAACAGGTTCCAAAAAGAGCCGAGATAACCGGCAAGTTCCAGATGGAGTAGGTGCCACATCGCGCCTCCCCCAGATGGAACCCCGGTGACCAGAAGCCTCTAAAAACACAGCTCGAGTATGCGGGAACGAGGACTTTTTCTCAAATCTGCCGGACTACAACTCCCAGGTAACCTCTGATTCCGGAAGTCACGCCCACAGCCCGCCCCCCAGCGCCATCTTTGAAGCGTTCAGCATAAGAGAAGGAACACATGGAAGGTGCGGGATCCCGGAGGAAAAAAAAAAAGAAAAAACAGGTTCCAAAAAGAGCCGAGATCACCGGCAAGTTCCAGATGGAGTAGGTGCCGCATCCCGCCTCCCCCAGATGGAACCCCGGTGACCAGAAGCCTCTACAAACACAGCTCGAGTATGCGGGAACTAATAGTGGTGAATCTTTTATTGAAACAATGAATCTAATCAAAGCAGATAGAGTGTTAACTAGAATTCATCTGCCTCACAGGGACGGGGAGGGGTGGGGGGTGGGGTTTTATTGGGGTTCTTCATGGTAAAAAATAAGTATTGGTAAAGGGAAATGTGTTTGATATTTGCATGACTGAGACATAAACCTGAAAGCTTTGTAACCTTTCCCACAGTGATTCAATAAATAAATAAAAAAAAAATTAACATTACTCTGTGTTCCTAACAGAGACTAAACTGATGATCTAATTATTTTATGAGTGCTGACAATAGAAAATAACTTTGTAAGAAGCTCACAATACAGCGTAATGAAATTTCTGAAACAAAGATAAATTAAATTAGATGATCACTCAGCTTGTTTTACTCCAGATATAAAATTATATCAATTTCCATTGATTACTGATGTTAACTTTTGCCATATTGGAATTCTTACCAGAAAATAACTTCATGCTTACTTTTTAAATATAAGGCAGTACACAATTTGGATTACATCAACTAATTCTAGTTTTATCAAGAGTACTGCTACCACATTTCCATATAAGAACATCATGTCTTTTCTCTAATAATTGCCTAACATAAGATAAAGATAAGATAAAGGCCCTCCTGTTGATCGTCGATTTGCTCGAGCGGGCCCAGTAACGTCTCCATTGGAGACCTTGTTGTTACTGTGTCTGGCATATCGAATACTCTCGGTAGCTTGCCGGGCTCTCCGAGAGGGGCGGAGGAATCAAACTCGGGTCGGCCATGTTGGCCGCTTGTAAGGCGGACGCCCTACCCGCTGTGCTATCGATCCAGCGATCAATCCTGTCCGTGTCCGGGCCGGGTGAGGTTTCCCGTGTTGAGTCAAATTAAGCCGCAGGCTCCACTCCTGGTGGTGCCCTTCCGTCAATTCCTTTAAGTTTCAGCTTTGCAACCATACTCCCCACAGAACCCAAAGACTTTGGTTTCCCGGAAGCTGCCCGACGGGTCATGGGAATAACGCCGCCGCATCGCCAGTCGGCATCGTTTATGGCCAGAACCACGACGGTATCTGATCGTCTTCGAACCTCCGACTTTCGTTCTTGATTAATGAAAACATTCTTGGCAAATGATTTCGCTCTGGTCCGTCTTGCGCCGGTCCAAGAATTTCACCTCTAGCGGCACAATACGAATGCCCCCGGCCGTCCCTCTTAATCATGGCCTCAGTTCCGAAAACCAACAAAATAGAACCGCGGTCCTATTCAAAAATGGGGCTGGAGCGATAGCACAGTGGGTACGGCGTTCGCCTTACAAGCAGCCAACATGGCCGACCCGAGTTCGATTCCTCCGCCCCTCTCGGAGAGCCCGGCAAGCTACCGAGAGTATTCGATATACCAGACACAGTAACAACAAGGTCTCCAATGGAGACGTTACTGGGCCCGCTCGAGCAATTGCCTAACATAATCACTTTTACAAGTCATCACAGAAGTAATATACATTTAAATCTGATTTATTTTTTGCTGTTCTATAAAATATGTTCTCCAAAATGTCCAGAAGTTTGCTGGTAACTTCCTTCAAATCTTGGGGGCCCATGAATTACTGGGTATCACACTAAGGGCTTCATGCACTTTAGAACTCAACCCATCTTTACAACTTTACCCATCCCTAAGCTCATCTTATTATGATTGCAACAAAGGTCATTACTCTAAGCTGTCTTGGTTCATTTCATGGTTTAGCTATGAAGTGCTATTTTGCCTATCTTCCTCATTTATCTAGGTTATCAAATTCCTGGCAGGTCTATAGACCAAAAAAAAAAATGATGCACTCTATCATGTCTAATGGTTCTCTCTAAATATCCTGTTACACAATGAACTATCTTTTACTGATTTCCACACAAACTAGTTCCTTTGTTTCTATCTTCTTAATCTATTCAGCAAATTCTCCCCTAAAGAAACATCCGCCCACTTCTCTGCCTTCTAGCACCAGTAGCTGCTTCCTTGATTCTAATCCATCCAACTAGCAAGTTATTAATACCATTTCCATCATGATGCTATAAATTCTCCAGAGGCTTACTAACATCTTTTAGGTATTTTCATATATAAAGTAAAGGCACCGAAAGTATCTCTCCCACATGGCAGAGCCTGGCAAGCTCCCGGTGGTGTATTCAATATGCCAAGAACAGTAACAACAAGTCTCACAATGGAGACATTACTGGTGCCCGCTCGAGCAAATCGATGAACAACGGGAGGACAGTGCTACAGTGCAGTAAAGGCATTTAAAGATTCACCAAACTGATTCTAAATGACACTCTCTAGAACAAAATATTTGCCTCTGAAAGACTGATTAACTCATCCTTCTCAAATACGGTTTAGTCATTACTATCCTTGATTTTTTGACAATGCTGTACATTTAATTTAAATGATCCATTTATTTTGTCACTTGATTAATTTCCAAGATTCAGCCCATATTATATATCTTCCATAACTTAGCTTTTATTAAGTGCCACAGTGAGCATAAATATGCATATATCTTAATTTTTTCACATTATTTTTCACATATGTAAGGGTATACTCCAAGAAATTCAATCTCTAGGCCATATGGAAACTCATTATTTTAATGAGAAATCTCCATACTGCTTTCCATAGATGATTAACGAGACAATAATCCCACCAGTAGTGAACAAAAGCTGCTTTTTACCACATGCACCAATACCGGTTGTTTTCAGTATTTTTGACATGTGCCACTGTAAGTATATAAGATGATATCTTGTTGTTTTGACTTATACTTACTTAATAATAATATACAACCCAAATATCCAATGATAGAGTGAGTAAAAAAAAGGTTCCATTCCACAAATCAGACTACACAGCCACAAGAAAAGCAAAACCATGTAGTTTGCTGCATATTGGATGGAACTGAAGGTTATCTTGATGAGACAAATAAGCCGGAAGGAATATGACAAGGACCAAATAATCTTACTCAAACAATATGTGGTATATACGGAAGCAACACAGGGGATAAAAAATATCAAGTGACAACAAACTCATGGCATTGAAGTACAGAGCTAAGAATATCAGATCACAGGGAAGCAGAAAGGGAGGAAAATTAAGCAGCTGAAGGTGACACATGGAAATGAGTAGGGGGATTCTTGACCCCTTTGAGTAAACCAAACGTATAAATTTCAACACAATTGTACACACATAACCTACACTATAATAAATTAAAATTCACAAAATCACAAATCATCCTGTTATTCGTCCATTGCCTCGAGCAGGCCCCAGTAACGTCTCCTTCATCCTAGCCCTGAGATTATATTCAAGGCGCTTTAGGAGAATGAGACCCATCATTGTTACTGGTTTTTGGCATATTGGGTATGCCACAGGGAGTTTGCCAGACTCTGCCGTGGGGGCAGGCTACGTTCGGTAACCTGCCAGTTTGTCCAATTTTTAAATTAAAATTTAAAAAAAATAAATTAAAAAATAAATTAAAAATTTAAAAAATATTCCTTCTGTGATGCTTCACTTACAACTCTATATTAAATTAAATCCAATGTTTGCTTTGATTCCCTATAGTCTTCACAAATCAGTTTTAATTAAGAATTATTTTGTTAACAGGGGCTGGAGAGATAATGCAGTTCATCCAGTTTCCTGTCAACCCATATGGCTGCAGATCCCTGAGTGCAGAGGCAGGTATAATATCTGAGAACAGACAAGTATGAGCCAAAAACTAAAAATATATTTTTTATAATGGTTTTGTGTTTATACTTGCAACCTTTGCTTTAATGACAACTTAAACAACTAGCCAATGAGCTAATATTGCTTGATCATTCATTTGTCAGTCACCCGTTGGGGTAAAATAAATGGAAGAATGAATAATGTTTATTTTATTTACACAGAATTCTTAATTCAACACATGACTCAGGTGATTTGATGTACTCATTAAACAAATGAGCAAAATATTACCAACAGAACTGATACTAAAATGACCATAATCCAAAGAGATCTGAATTTTCTATGCAAATAGATAAAATCGCATGAAATACAGTCTAATAATTAGAACATCTGTAGGATCATAATCCGAGGTGTCAATTATATTAAGATTAAAAACAACTGCCTAATTTTAAAATTAAATGTTATGAAAAATGAAAAAAACACACTTTAGTATTCCAACTATTGCTACTGCATCTGAAAAATGGAGAAATCTCTGAATTACAAGCAGAAAAAATAATATGCTTTAGCAATGACTGAAATCCAAATGTATTTCAACTCAAGAGCATGATGAAAACTGTCAATATTGTACAGAGAAAAAGCAAAATTTTTGATAATTATGTGGCTTTTGTGTAGATTCTGGTAATTTCTCCACTTAATACATTTAAATTATACTATATTCCATTAGTCTTAAAGCATACATCTTAATACTATTTACTACATACCTGTCCAATCTCCTACTATTTTGAAGTGGACCCCAAAGGTTGCTTTGGTTTCAGTAGGGCACTAAAAAATAAATACTAAAATCAATTCTGAATAATAATTTTGTATTACAAAACTATGATTCCAATATGACTTTCATTTTCATTGCAAATTTCTCAATCAATACGCAGAGACACTGAGGGATGGAGAGATGGCACAGTGGGTAGGGCATCTGCCTTCACAGCCTCTCTGGGTTCAGTGTCAAACATCCCAAATGGTCCACCAAGCACCGCCGGGGAAAATCCCTGAGTGCAGACCCAGGTATACTCCCTGAGCATTGCTGGGTGTGGTGCCAAAACCAAAATTAATATATAGAGAGATAATTGATAGACAGATGCATACACACACACATATCTACAAACATATATAAAGAAAACAATTTACTAAAAATCTATAAAAATCCTTAATAGTGGAAAAATGATAACAATATAAAATGCCAAAAAAGGCAATAAAAACAGCACATATCTAAAAACCCATGTATGTATGTATGTATGTATGTATGTTTATATATATATATATGCAATATACAGTCTAAAACTGCAAACATATTGTACCTATATACAAGTCTTGTTGAAATTTTTTAGAAGTTGGAAGCACCATAATTTACAGTGTTGCACACGCATACATTTCAACACTATACCTACTATCAGCGTGTGCATGTCCCTACAGCACTCTCTTCGAGTGCCCACCCAAACACACCTCCACACCCCAACTCTTGCTATACCAGTTGTGCAAATTATTTCTCAGATTCTGTACTTGACTATTTGTTATTTCCTTGCTGTTTCCTTATATCCCATGTGTCTGGAAAAAACTCAGCTTTAAGTACTGATGACTGGATAAATAAACTGTACACATTATATATGTAATGAAATACCACCTGGTTATACGAATTATGTTAATTAACATTTAATTATGTTAATTAAATGTTAGCTAACATTTTAATTATATGTTAATTAACATTTTAATTAGTGTTAATTAACACTACCTCCACTACCCAGCCGCCGCCACACTACAGGACATTTTCCGGCCGAGACTCACGCACGACTGAAGACCCACAGAACAAGATAAGCGGAACTCTCTGAGACCTTGGACTCCAGGCTCGGCGGACCCAGGGACAGAGTTTCTCTGCTTGCTCCCACCAACCACAGGTGACAAAGGGATCCTAATCAGGAGCCCCACCCTACCCTGCCCTGTCTGCTTCCATCAACCACCCAGGGATCTGATTGCGAACAGAAGACCCACCCTACCCTGATAAATAACCCACTGGCAGACTTCCACTATCAACACTACCTCCACTACCCAGCAAACGCCACACTACAGGATGCTTTCCGGGCCCACGCAGCAACTTCGCGGCCGCGCGGCACATCATAAGACACTAAATACCCATCTTCCAGAATGATAGTGCCATATTTGATAGGGTTCAAATATGGTAACACCTACAAGGGTGATTAGAGGTAGCCCCAAAAGCCTCTATCCCTCTCTGAAAGACTGGCAAGCTACCGAGAGTATTCTGCCTGCACGGAAGAGCCTGGCAAGCTATCCGTTGTGTATTCGATATGCCAAAACCAGTAACTACAACTGGTCTCATTCACCTGACCCTGAAAGCTTTACCGACATGGCAGCACTGAGAAGGATGAGAAAGGAGAGGTCGACAAAATCTCAAGGCCGAACTAGGCTGCCACAATGAAGGAAGACAAAAATGATCGTCTGTACTTTCAATGCACGTACACTAGCATCAGATGCATCCATTGAGGACCTGATAGTACAAGCGCAAATGATCAAGTACTACATCATTGGTCTGACCGAGACAAGAAGGCACGAATCTCCCCATGCCGTTTCGACACTAGAGAAGAATGGTTCCTCGAACATGCGATAAAAGAGGTGTCGGAGGCGTCGGTGTCCTTGTCAACACAAACTTGGCCAAGAAAATTGATTCATTCAAATGCCAAACAACCCGAATCGGACGTTTACATTTGAAAAGATGTGGCTCACTGCCTGAAGTTTCTATCTTCCTTGTCTACACACCAACATCTCATTATGATGAAAGAGAAATCGAGAAGTTCTACATGGAGCTGGAGAAGTTCTATAAAGAAGACCACACCTTCTACAAGATCACTGTGGGTGATTTTAATGCCAAGATAGGACCGAGAAGATCAGCTGAAGAACTTCACATTGGGACCCATGGCCAAGAATGGAACGAACAGGGTCACAGAATGTCTGAGTTCATCATGTCGACGAGGAGCATCCATGGTAACTCACAGTTCAAGAAGGCAGAATCTAAACGTTGGACATGGGAGTCTCCCGGTGGACGATTGCACAACGAAATAGACCACATCATATTCAATCGACGGTTTTGCCTGACTGATGTCGCTGTTGTCCCAAAATTTCGAACGGGATCGGACCACCGTCTCCTTCATGCAAAATTCTACTTCACAGAGTGGGGAGAAAGGGCTGCAAAGTTCAAAAAGAGAACTCCCAAAACGACCACCAACTGGGAACTCTTTGGCACTATTGCGGCAACATGGGAAGATGCCATTGTTGACAACATTGACGAGGAATACGATCGACTGGTAAAGCAACTCCATGATTGTGCGAGGAACGTCAAGAGAGATAACCACAAAAAAATGCCTGTCTTCGAAAACTCTTCAGCTAATTCGCCGGCGTGGTTTGGCGCATGCCTTAGGCAACCGCAAGCTAACGTCCGAGCTCGCAAAGCAGTGCAGAGATGTGATCAAGGAAGACCTCAAAGAGAGAAGAGCAGAAGTACTGGTAGATGCGGCAGAAGCCGGGAAAACTATTCGTAATGCCCGCCTGTCCTTCGCCAACTACAAGACCAAGATGACTGCCCTCTGACATCCTGATGGATCCATCACATCCTCCAGAACGGCAATGGAGAAGATTATCCGTGACTTCTACTCAAATCTCTTCGATAGCCATGGCCACTTGCCAACATACCAAATTCCACAGGATGGATATGTCATTCCCAATGTTCTCCCTTCCGAAATCCGACACACCATTTTGTCAGTAAAGACAAAAACAGCACCTGGCCCAGACAAGGTCAGACCTGAACACCTGAAGAACCTGCCCTCAGTACTCATCAATACACTGGCTCGGCTCTTCAAACGCTACCTGTCTGAATGCAAGGTTCTGTCCCAATGGAAAACCAGCAGGACCGTACTACTGTTCAAGAAGGGAGACATCCATGACATTGGCAACTATCGCCCGATCTGCCTATTGTCTGTCATCTACAAGTTGTTCACTCGAGTCATCCTAAATAGGGTTAGCAGAACAATAGATGAAGGACAACCATGCAAGCAAGCTGGGTTCCGCAAAGGATTCAGCACCATCTACCATAACCACACGATAACCAAGCTCATTGAGGTTTCTTGGGAGTTCAAGATGCCGCTCTGTTTAACGTCCATTGATTTAAAGAAGGCCTTTGATTCTGTTGAGACGGAAGCGGTCATTGAAGTCCTAGCCAATCAAGGCATTCAAGCCCAATACATCAAGATCCTCCATGAGCTGAACTGCAGATTCACTACCAGGATCTCACCATTCTACAAAGAAGTGATCGTTGATGTCAAGAGAAGGGTTCGGCAGGTTGATACCATTTCACCGAAACTCTTCAGTGCCACCCTCCAGAACATCATGCGACGACTGGAATGGGAAGGAATGTGAGTGAAGATAGATGGTCGGCAACTACACCACCTCCGCTTTGCTGATGACATTGTTTTAATAACACCAAACACCAGCCAAGCGGTACAAATGCTGGCCGACTTTGACCGTGAGTGCGGGAAGGTAGGACTCCAGCTGAATCTTACGAAGATAATGTTTATGAGAAACACCCTTGTTCCTGATGCCCCATTCGCTCTCAACGGAACTACCATCTCCGAATGCAACAGCTATGTGTACCTCGGTCGAGAAGTCAACATGACAAATGACCTGGCATCCGAGCTGCGCAGGAGGAAGAGAGCGGCTTGCAACGCCTTCAAGAACGTCGAAGAAATAACTAAGAGGATGAAGAACTTCCGGCTCCTGGCACATCTCTTTGATTCCACAGTTCTTCCTGCATTAACATATGCCTCAGAGACCTGGGCCCTACGCAAACAGGATGAGAACGCTATTCAGGTCTCCCAAAGAAGAACAGAAAGAGCTATGCTTGGAATATCACGTTTCACTCAAATGAGAGAAAGAATCCGGAGTACCAACATCCATCGGCGATCAAGAATCAGGGACACTGTCTCATTTGCCAAGGTGTCAAAAATCAGATGGGCTGGTCACGTAATGAGATTTAAAGACGACCGCTGGACTAGAGCTGTTACCGACTAGATTCCATGGGATGTCAAAAGACCGCGTGGCTGCCCACCTACCAGATGGTTAGATTTCTTCATCAAGGTCATGAATGATCGGTTTGAGGCTCTTCATGTTCCCAGAGCGAACAGATGCCACTGGGCTACACTAGCACGCAACAGGGACAAATGGAGACATTACTGGCGCCCGCTCGAGTAAATCGATGACTAACAGGAAGTTCAGTGTGATTAAGTGAACATTTTAGAACATACCTTTATACCAAAAAGAAGAAATACAGAGTGGGACAGAGAGAGCTAGGACGTAAGTCCAATTTACATAAATTTAAAAAAGAAGAATCATACCAAGCATCCTATTGGACCACAACGCCATGGAGATAGAACTTAATCATGAAAAGAAGACAAGGATAAACTCTAACACTTACAGAGTGAACAACACACTGCAACATAACAGTTGGATCAAAGCGGAAATCCAGGAACAAGTAAGAAGATTCCATGAAACTAATGATAATGAAGAAACAAGTTACCAAGATCTATGGGACATAGTAAAAGCAGTGCTTAGAGGAACTCTCAAAGCAATAGAGGCCTACATAAGGAAAGTAGAAAACAATAAAATCAACAACCTTAAATTGTTGCTAACAACCTGAAATGCACACCTTAAATTCCTGGAGAAACAAAATCAAACGATTCCAAATACTAGTAGAAGAAATGAAATAA